AGCTTTAGTTTTGATTAAATTGCTTCCTCACCAATTCGACGATGGTAGACGTTCATATAAGGGCTGCTACAATAATTGAAGATCTTGGCGGGGAAAGTAATGCCAATGAACAAGAAAGTTCTTTAACTATCTCTAAAGTTGATAATAGCCAACATGTATCTACCACAAATCAAGCAACTTCCTTTATCATAGTAGTTGTCATTCCAGTGCGTGGAATGACTTGCCAATCCTGCGTAAAATCCGTCACTAAAGCAGTTTCCTTATTACCTGGGATATCTAATATTAATGTTAGTCTAGAGAATGAGGAAGCAACAGTTGCATATGATGCTAGTAGCATAAGCAAGGCTAGGATCATCGAGGCAATTGAAAATGCAGGTTTCAATACTACGTCTCCACAAAGAGAAAATTCAGACGCAAAATTATCTTCGGGAAATTTGACAATTACTTTACCCATCAAGGGGATGACTTGTATGTCTTGTGTGAATTCTATTACACGGGCCTTGAGTTCGGTACCTGGTGTAAATAATATTAATGTTAGTTTAAAAGACGAGAACGCAGTAGTCGATTACGATTCTACCATGATCTCACAAGATGAAATTGTTGAGCGCATCATAAATTGCGGGTTTCAAGTTCCGATAGAACAAAAAAGCGATCCACACGATGAAATGGGAAAATCAACCATACTTCCAGTTCTGGGTATGACTTGTAATTCTTGTGTAAACTCGATAACGAATTCTTTGAAATCGATCCCAGGAATTAATAGTGTGATGGTTAGTTTGGCAGACGAGAATGCATCGGTGGAGTATGACGAAAAATTAATCACAGAGGAGAAAATAATAGAGACAATTAAAAATTGTGGTTTTGATGTGCCAGTCGTTTCAGATTTAAGTCTAAAATCTTCGTTAGCCTCTGAGTTTGCGGCATTCACCAACATCACCTTAAAGAATACTCCGTATCAAGAATATGTTCCTCTTAAGACTATTGCGACCCACTGCGTCGACCTAGAAAAGATCAAAACAAGCCAGATTCAAGTATGCGGTATGACTTGTGCATCGTGTGTCAACAATATAGAATCTCATTTGAGGGCTGTCCCGGGAATGGTGTCTATCAAAGTATCTTTGCTTTCTGAGAGAGCGACAGTGGAACATGATCCTGACGTACTAGATGAACATCAGATAACTGAAATGATTAATGGCATTGGGTTTAAAGCAACTCTGATGAAGCCGAAACAAGAGGGCACTGTGGATCTTCAAATATTTGGAATGCGTGACTCCTCAAATGCTGACGTGATAAAAAGAGAACTGGGTAAAGTTTCTGGAATTCTAAACGTCTCCATAGACTTTTCCACTTCGATTGCAACTATTCAGTTTGACAAGGCATTGCTGGGTATTCGAGATATTGTAAATCATATAGAAGGTTTCGGAGTCAATGCCCTGGTTAATGACAACAGCCAAAAAATTCAATTGGAATCTTTGACTCGTACTAAAGAGATCACAGAATGGAGATCATCATTTTATAGATCTTTGATGTTTGCAATTCCAGTGTTCCTTGTTTCAATGGTGCTTCCTGAATTCGGGTGGGGTTCGAATTTGGTGGACATAGAGCTGCTTCCTGGAATTTACAGTGGAGACCTTATTTGTCTTATACTAACGGTACCAGTTCAATTCGGAGTGGGCAGAAGATTTTACGAAACTTCTTTTAAAGCTTTGAAACACAGAAGTACGACTATGGATGTTTTGATAGTGCTTGGCACCACATCCGCTTTTGTGTTTTCAAGTTTCACAATGTTATATGCATTGATCAGTTCTGAGCATAAAAGACCATCAGTATTTTTTGACACTTCAACCATGTTGATTACATTTGTCACACTTGGTCGATATACAGAGAATTTGGCAAAAGGAAAGACTTCGGTTGCCCTATCCAAATTAATGTCTCTCACACCTACCACTGCTCTTATATTAATTAAGGACGCGAAAACTGGCGAGATTACTGGTGAAAAAAAGATTCCCACCGAATTGATCCAGGTAGGAGATATCGTGAGAATTGTGCCAGGCGACAAGATTCCTGCAGATGGTACAGTTATCTCTGGTAGTTCAAGCGTGGATGAATCGATGGTCACCGGTGAAGCTAACGCCGTTGATAAGAAAATTGGCGATATTATTATTGGAGGTACGGTTAACATTCGGGGGGCTTTTGAAATGGAGGTTACCCGTTCCGGAAGTGACACAGCTTTATCTCAAATTGTTAAACTTGTCGAAGAAGCACAAACGTCAAAAGCACCTATTCAGCAATTTGCAGACACCGTTGCTGGATATTTTGTACCTGTGGTAATAATTTTGGGTGTCTTAACGTTCTTTGGTTGGATGATCCTTTCCAAAGTCATGGATCCTCTTCCGGATGTATTTGAACAGGGTGGCAGCTATTTTATGGTTTGTCTTAAGTTGTGTATTTCTGTTATCGTAGTGGCCTGTCCTTGTGCCCTCGGGCTTAGCACACCGACAGCTGTAATGGTTGGTACTGGAGTTGGCGCTCAGAATGGTATATTGATTAAGGGAGGCGAGTCACTTGAAGCGGGACACAAAGTCACAAAAGTTGTATTTGATAAAACCGGCACTCTGACAAAAGGTCAATTGGAGGTTTCTTATTTTGAATTGATGACGGATAACTTAGATTTGACCAAAGAAGTGTTCTTTGCTATTGTTGGAGCGGCCGAATCCTTCAGTGAACACCCCCTTGGTGTGTCAATAGCTAATTATGGCAAGGCACTTTTAGGTATTGAAGCATACGATGCTCAAGTCAAAGACTTTGAGTCACTCACAGGAATGGGCATAAAGTGCACTGTGATCCTTAATAATGCATATTCCGTTTCAGAAAAAACTTTTGACATTTTAATTGGTAATGCTCAGTATCTTTCTCAGCATAAAAATATTTCAATTCCAAAATCCATTGACGAAAATAAGGAAGCACAAGAGCGTCTTGGGCGTACCTCTGTTTTAGTAGCCATTAATAATGAATTTGCCGGAATAATATTCCTCTCTGACACGATAAAGCCGGAATCCAAGTTGGCTGTCGGCGCGTTAAGCAACATGGGTATTTCAGTTGTGATGGTTACTGGCGATCAACTGCTTACCGCTCAAGCGATAGCATCACAATGTGGCATCACCGATGTTCATGCAGGTGTTTCTCCTAAGGGTAAAACACAAATCATACAATCCCTTCAACTTGAAGGCAAAGGTAATGTGGTGGCAATGGTTGGTGACGGTATAAATGATTCGCCAGCATTAGCAGCAGCCAATGTGGGGATTGCTCTTTGTTCTGGAACCGACATAGCGATGGAGGCTGCTGACATTGTACTTATGCGATCAGATATTACTGATGTAGTAGCGGCGATTGATCTATCGCGAACAATACTTCGTAGAATACGCTATAATTTTATATGGGCGTGTATGTACAATATTGTAGGCATTCCTTTAGCAATGGGATTTTTCCTTCCATGGGGATACCATTTACATCCTATGATGGCAGGAGCAGCTATGGCATGTTCGAGTGTTAGCGTTGTATGCTC